TCTTTCTGGTATTCTTTGCCTTGAGCCAAGATCCATCTGACAACAGCTATGATATCCCTTGTTCCACGTCCTCTTCTGAATCCGGCTTGAACCTCTGGAAGTTCTCTGTCAATATGCTGCTGCAAACATTTTTGAATTATCTTGACTAAGATCTTACTTGCATGCAATATTAGGGATATTGTTCTATAATTTCTACATTCTGTGGGATCACCTTTCTTTGGAATGGGCACAAATATGGATCTCTTCCAGTCAGTTGGCCAGGTGGCTGTCCTCCAAATCTCCTGGCATAACCTAGTGAGTGCCTCCAATGGGGCATCTGTTTGTTGAAATATCTCAATTGGTATTCCGTCAATTCCCAGAGCTTTGTTCTTTGCCAATTCTTTTATTGCAGCTTTGACTTCCTCCTTCAGTACCATTGGTTCTAGATCATATGCCACTTCCTGAAACGGATGAAAATCGACCAGACCATGGTACTCTTAGCATTCTTCTCCAGCACCACAACTCAAAAGCATCAACTCTTCTTCGGTCGTCCTTATTTCTTGTCTACCTCTCACATGCATAAGAGGCGATTGAAAATACCATGGCTTGGGTTAGGTGCACCTTAGTCTTCAAGAAGACATCTTTGCTCTTCAGCAATTGAAAGAGGTCTTTTGCTGAAGATTTGCCCAGTGCAATATCTTGCCTGATGTCTTGACTGCTGCTTCCACTGGTGTTGATCATAGAATCAAGTGATATGAAATCCTTGACAACTTCAATGTTTTCTCCATCTACCGCGGACCAGCTGTAAGGATTTTTATTTTCTTTATATAGAGGTGTAATCCATACTACACACTGTAGTCTTTAGTCTTCATCAGTAAGTGCTTCGAGTCATCCTCACTTTCAGCAAGGAGAGTTGTGTCATCTGCATATCACCAGTTGTTAATGAGTCTTCCTCCAATCCACATTCTTCTTCATATAATCCAGCTTCTCAGATTATTTGCTCAGCATACAAGTTGAATAAGTATGGTGAAAGGATACAACACTGACATACTTCCTTCTTGATTTTGAACCATCCAGTATCCCCTTGTTCTGTTCAAACAACTAGTAGTATAGTTATTAAACTGTTAATGACCCATGGGAAATACAGTGCCCACCTACATTTTCCATCTCTGCGGTTCAGTAGGAAGCTGTTATCCTGTTTTTAGTGCATGTTGACTGCTGGTGGGGGCCTGTATAACTGCATGAATCTAAAGAAATGAGCTTCATTCCACCACCTCCAGCACCACAAACTCCTTAAAAACAAACTAACAAACTCCCTACCATTGAGTCGATTCTGACTCTTATCAACCCCCATTGGTTATTCTGAGGCAGTAAATATTTACAGAAGGAGATTGTCCCATCTTCCTTCCATGGAGTGGTTGGTGGATTTGAACTACCAACCTACTGGTCAGCAGTCAAATGCCTTAGGCACTGTGCCACCAGAGTTCCTTAGAGAATCCTTGGAATGTTTCCCACTAAATATACCAAAATCCATTTTATCTCAAAAAAGTTTTTTACATTTCATTCAAAATGCCTTCCATGACTGAAACACATCTTTAAACAAACAATTCAAAGCAGAAAATAATTCAGTCTTAAAAGGGTTAAAAGCAAAATGGCATCTAACATATTAGGCACATGAAGCATATCATAGAATAGAATGTTTTACAAATTGTAAATATTCATTAGCAAAATAAACTGAAACTTAATTCCTACATGTTTTAAAATTGCTCAGAGATTTTAACACTTGTAGAATACAGTGTTTGATCTGTAAACAAAAGCATCACAGTACCTTATAATGTCCACTCATCACAGCATCATGTAGCGGGGTGATCTGGTACCTTCCTTTGACATTTATATCTGCTCCACCTTTTAATAGTTCACTTGTTATCTGATAAAATCCCGCAGCACTAGCTTCATGAAGTGCGGTCCAACCTATCTCACAAAAAGCAAATGGTATTTCTTTTTATTTGGCATCTGAATAATATTTTGTGCTTGGTTTAAAGTTTCTTTCTTTAAAAATATTTTGAGCATATGACCAAAAATACTGCCACTGAGTTGATTCCAAATCATAGTGACCCCCACTGGAGTTCTAAGGCTGTAAATATTTACAGAAGTAGATTGCCTCATCTTGCTTCCATGGAGTAGCTGGTGTGTTAGAACTGCCAATGTTCCTATTAGCAGTCAAATGACTTACCCACTACGCCACCAGAGACAAGATAATTTCATCATGAAAGTACCTTGCATAATTTGGCAGATTCAATAATCTGAAGGACAAATCAAATTGTCAGACTCTCAGGTCTGCTGTGAAAATGTATGTGAAAATAAAATAAAATATTCAAACGTATTCCTCACCTCAGCAAATTAAAAGGCTGTAAGAATATCATTATCAGCCCAATGAAAATGTTGGTTTAGGATGTATTTCTGCAGAGATGAGGGTGACAAAGCTTTATTTCTAGCTCAGTGTGCTTCCATTAAAGTGAGCCAGTTTGCAGGACTACATAGATGTCAGTTCAAATGTATGTATCTCTTTTTCTCCTTATTCACAAAAATATATTTACAGAAGTTCAAAAAGCCACAAACAACTCCAAGAAAACTAGTCATCCAGATAAATATCCTTTACTTTTGTTAGCCAGACACAATGGTGTAAGTTGTAGATATTTATTAAATTCCAATAAATCACAGGATAGATGTCTTAAGAAAACCTAAAAATTGCATGTGAAAAGTTTATTTCAACAGTACTTTTTAGAACCTGCTTCATAAACCAGGGTTTCTCTACCTCGGCACTATAACAACCACAATTCTTTCTTGTGCTGAACAGTATAGGATGTTAGCAGCATTCCTGGCTTCACCCCACTAGGTGTCAGTAGCACATCCTCCCTACCAAGCTGTAACAACCAAACATGTCTCCAGACATCATCAAACATCCTGCGGGGTAAAAAATTTTCTAGTTTAGTCCCACTGCAATAAACTATAAGAGAAGGAGTTTCTCCTACAATGTTAATTATAAAGCCTTGGAGAAGAAATGAACAACGCTGAAAATGGGAAATATATCTTTAACAGAGATAATTTTCCTTCTTAAAATACATATGGCTGTTCAAAGCAAAAATAGTAACATTATGTTTACGTTTTATGTGTCTAGATGTAATCTATGTAACAGCTATAGTATAAAGGATGATAGACAATAAATGATCCTGCTTGTGTGCAATGTTTTTGTATGCTATATGAAATATTAAAATAACTCTAAGAAGACTGTAAACATTAAAGATGTACGTTATAATCCTTTGATCAAACACTAAAAAATAATGTAAAGGCAAAGAAACTAAATCTTATGAAGTACACAGGAAGCAATGAATAAAACCATAGTCCTAAATCCAACCACTTATATTAAATGTAAATGACTATTATTGTTGTTGTTAGGTGCCACCAAGTAGACTCCAACTCACAGCATCCCTATGTATAACAGAATGAAACACTGCCCTGTCCTGTGCCATGCTCACAATCTTTGCTATGCTTGAGCTCATCGTTGTTGCCACTGGGTCAGTCCACCTTGTTGAGAGTCTTCCCCTTTTTTGCTGACCCTAAGGAGCTCTGATGGCGCAGCGTCTAAGACATTTGACTGCTAACTAGAAGTTTCGTGGTTCAAACCCACCAGCCACTCTGTGGAAGGAAGATGGGATAATCTACTTCCATAAAAATTTACCTCCTTGAAAACCCAATGGGGATCACTTGAGTCAGAACTGAATAGATGGCAGCGAAGTTTTTTTTTTTTTTTTCCTTTTCTGTTTTACCAAGCATGATACCCTTCAGAGACCAACCTCTTCTAACATGAACAAAGTACATGAAATGAAGTCATTCTCACTTCTAAGGAACATTCTGACTGTACTTCTCAGAAGAGTTGTTCGTTCTTCTGGTCTTCTATAGTCTCCCTTATTCCCTGGTCACCTTTCACATGTTTATGAGGCAAATGAAAATACCATGGCTTGGGTCAGCACACTTTAGTCTTCAAAGTAGCATCTTTGCTCTTTAATACTTTAAAGAGGTCTCTTTCAGCAAATGTTGTTGTTGTTATGTGCCATCGAGTCGGACCCAACTCATAGCGACCCCTCCTTGGGTTTCCAAGGCAGTATCACTACGGAAGTAGATTGCCCCATCTTCCTTCCAAGGAGTGGCTGGTGGGTTTGAACCACCAGCCTTCTGGTTAGCAGTCAGGTGCCTTAGGCACTATGCTACCAGAGCTCCTCTTTCAGCAGATAGGCCCAGTGTAACAGTCGTCTGATTGCTTCACTATTGCTTCCATGGACAGTGATTGTGGAACCAAGTAAAATGAAATCTCCAACAACTTCAATCCTTTCTCCACTTATCATAATGTTGTTAATTGATCTAGTTTTGAGGATTTTTGTTTTATTTTGAGGTGTAATCCATATTGAAAGTTGTAGACTTTCTTCAGTAAATCCTTCAAGTCCTCTTCACTTTCAGCAAGCAAGTTTGCATCATCGCATACTATAGGTTTTTAATGAGTCTTCCTCCAATTGTGATGCCATGTTCTTCTTCCTATAGTCCAGCTTCTCAGATTATTTGCTCAACATACACATTGAATAAATACGGTGAAAGGATACAACCCTGATGGCACAGCTTTCCTAATTTTAAACCATGCAGTATCCCCTTGCTTTGTTTGAATAACTGCCTCTGGGCCTATCTACAAGCTCTTCATGAGCACAATTAAGAGTTCTGGAATTCCCATTCTTCACAATGTTATCTATAATTTGTTATGATCCACACAGCTGAATGACTTTGCGTAGTCAATAAAACACAGGTAAAAATCTTTCTGATATTCTTTGCTTTCAGCTGAGATCCATGTGACATCATGCATGCCCCCTTCTGAACATGGCTTGAATTTCTGGTAGCTCTCTGTAATGCTGCAACCATTTGTTAATCATCTTCAGGAGAATTTTACTTGCATGTGACATGAATGATATTGTTCAATAATTTCTGAATTCTGTGGGATCACCCTTCTTTGGAATGGGTATAAATATAGATCTTTTAGTCGTGTGGCAAGATACCTGTCTTCCAAATTTCTTGGCATAAACGAGTGAGCCCCTTCAGCACAGCATCCATTTGCTGAAACATCTCACTGGGTATTCTGTCAATTCCTGGAGCCTTGCTTTTTTTGCCAATTCCTTCAATGCAGCATGGACTTCTTCCTCCAGTATCATTGGTTCTTGACCGTATGTTACCTCCTAAAATGCCTGGATGTCAATTTATGGTACAGTGACTCACTCCATTGACTCCTTCCATCTTCCTTTGATCCTTTTTCCATTATTCAGTATTTTCTCATGTTGTTGTTGTTGTTAGGTGCCGTCGAGTTGTTTCCGACTCAAAGCCACCCCATGCACAGCAGAATGAAACACTGCCCGATCCTGCGCCAGCTCTATGATCCCTGCTATATTTGAGCACATCATCGCAGCCAGTGTCAATCCATCTCGTTGAAGGCCTCCCCCTCTTTCATCAACCCTCCACCCTACCAAGTATGATGTCCTTCTCCAAGGAATGGTCCCTTCTGACAACATGACCAAAATAGGTGAGACAAAGTCTGGCCATTCTTGCTTCCAAGGAGCATTTCGGGTGAACTTCCTCCA